CAGAAGATATGATCTCACTAACATTCCTAGCGAATATACAGTGGAAGTGAAGAACAGATTTGAAGGACTAGATTTAGTAAACAGAGTCCCAGAAGAACTATGGACAGAAGCCCGCGACATTGTTCAGGAGGCGGCAACAAAGTACGTCCAAAGAAAAAGAAAACCAAGAAGGCAAAATGGTTGTCTGCTGAGACACGGGAAGTAGCCCAAGAAAGGAGGAAAGCAAAAGGAAACAGTGATAAGGGGAGATATGCCCAGTTAAATGCGCAATTCCAGAGGTTAGCCAGAAGAGATAAGGAACTATTTTTAAATAAGCAATGCATGGAAGTGGAGGAAGACAACAGAATAGGAAGGACAAGAGACCTCTTCCAGAAAATTAGAAACATTGGAGGTAAATTTCAGGCAAAAATTGGTATGATAAGAAACAAAGATGGCAGGGACCTAACAGAAGCTGAAGAGATCAAGAGAAGGTGGCGAGACTATACAGAAGATCTGTATAGGAAGGATAATAATATTGAGGATAGTTATGACGGTGTGGTGAATGAATTAGAACCAGACATCCGGAGGAGTGAAGTTGAATGGGCCTTAAGAAGCATTGCTAACAACAAGGCAGCAGGAGATGACGGGATCCCAGCTGAACTGTTTAAAATCTTAAAAGATGATGCTGTCAAGGTGATGCATGCCATTTGCCAGCAAATATGGAAAACACAAGAATGGCCATCAGACTGGAAAAAATCAACTTATATCCCCATACCAAAAAAGGGAAATGCGAAAGACTGCTCAAACTTCCGTACAGTGGCCCTTATTCATGCCAGTAAGGTAATGATCAAGATCCTGCAAGGAAGACTCCAGCAATACATGGAGCGAGAGTTGCCAGATGTTCAAGCTGGGTTTAGAAAAGGCAGAGGAACGAGAGACCAGATTGCCAATATCCGCTGGATAATGCAGAAAGGCAGGGAGTTTCAGAAAAACATCTACTTCTGCTTCATTGACTATTCTAAAGCCTTTGACTGTGTGGATCATAATAAATTGTGGCAAGTTCTTGGTGGGATGGGCATCCCAAGCCACCTTGTCTCTCTCCTGAGGAATCTGTACAAGGACCAAGTAGCAACAGTCAGAACTGACCACGGAACAACAGACTGGTTCAAGATTGGGAAAGGCGTACGGCAAGGCTGCATACTCTCAACCAACCTTTTTAACTTGTATGCAGAACACATCATGCGATGTGCGGGGCTTGATGAATGCAAAGCTGGGGTGAAAATTGCTGGAAGAAACATTAACAACCTCAGATATGCAGATGACACCACTCTGATGGCCGAAAGCGAGGAGGAGCTGAGGAGCCTTCTAATCAAGGTGAAAGAAGAAAGCGCAAAAGCCGGGTTGCAGCTAAACGTCAAAAAAACCAAGATTATGGCAGCAAGAATGATTGACAACTGGAAAATAGAGGGAGAAACCGTGGAGGCCGTGACAGACTTTGTATTTCTAGGTGCAAAGATTACTGCAGATGTAGACTGTAGCCAGGAAATCAGAAGACGCTTACTTCTTGGGAGAAGAGCAATGTCCAATCTCGATAAAATAGTAAAGAGTAGAGACATCACACTGGCAACAAAGATCCGCCTTGTCAAAGCCATGGTATTCCCTGTAGTCACCTACGGATGTGAGAGCTGGACCTTAGGGAAGGCTGAGCGAAGGAAGATCGATGCTTTTGAGCTGTGGTGTTGGAGGAAAGTGCTGAGAGTGCCTTGGACTGCCAGAAGATCCAACCAGTCCATCCTCCAGGAAATAAAGCCCGACTGCTCACTGGAGGGAAAGATACTAGAGACAAAGCTGAAGTACTTTGGCCACATCATGAGGAGACAGGAAAGCCTAGAGAAGACAATTATGCTGGGGAAAGTGGAAGGCAAAAGGAAGAGGGGCCGACCAAGGGCAAGATGGATGGATGGCATCCTTGAAGTGACTGGACTGACCTTGAGGAGCTGGGGGTGGTGACGGCCGACAGGGAGCTCTGGCGTGGGCTGGTCCATGAGGTCACGAAGAGTCGGAGACGACTGAACGAATGAACAACAACAAGGCAGAAGAGGAGACTGCTGGCTCTCCATGGGCACAGGTGCCTGCCATATTCGCAAAGCTGTGTCAGGATCAGGCTGGTTTTATAGGAGCTGTCCAAGGTACTAGACCTGTTTGTTAGGGAAATTCCCCCCAAATAGTAAAATATTTAAAACAGGTATGAGCAAACTCAGGCCCAGGGTCGGATGCAGCCCCTTGGGTTCTTTTCTCAGTCCTCTTCTCTCTCACCACCCTACCCTTCCTTCCTCCTCTCTTTCCTTCCTCCTTCCCTCCCTCCCTTCCTTCCTTGCCTCTTCCTCCCTCCTTCCCTCACTTCCTTGCCTCTTTCTCCCTCCTTCCCTCCCTTCCTTCCTTTCTTGCCTTTTCTCCCTCCTTCCCTCCCTTCCTCCCTTTCTTGCCTCTTTCTCCCTCCTTCCCTCCCTTCCTTTCTTCCTTGCCTCTTTCTCCATCCTTCCCTCCCTTCCTTTCTTGCCTCTTTCTCCTTCCCTCCCTTCCTTTCTTCCTTGCCTCTTTCTCCTTCCCTCCCTCCCTTCCATCCTTGCCTCTTTCTCCCTCCTTCTCTGCCTTCCTTCCTTGCCTCTTTCTCCCTCCTTCCCTGCCTTCCTTCCTTGCCTCTTTCTCCCTCCTTCCCTCTCTTCCTTCCTTTCTTGCCTCTTTCTCCCTCCCTTCCCTCCCCCCTTTCATCCTTCCTGCCTCCCCTCCTCCTCTCTTCTTTCTCCTTCCTTCCTTCCTTCTTCCTCCTTCCTTCTCCTTTTGTCTTTCCTCCCTCCCTCCATTCCCTTCCTATCCTTCTCTTCCTCCCTCCCTTCCTTCTTCCCTTCTCTTTTTCTTTCCTCCTGGGTGATGTTTAGCTGGGAGAAGAGAAGGTAGAGAGGGAATGTTCCGAGAAAAATTCAAAGTGCTGGTTTTGACCTATAAAACCCTATATGGTTCTGGCCCAGCATACCTGTCTGAACGTATCTCCTTCTACGTCCCACCTCGGAGTTTAAGATCTTCTGGGGAGGCCCTGCTCTCTGTCTCAAATGTGCTTGGCGGGGATGAGGGTCAGGGCCTTCTCAGTGGTGGCCCCCTGCCTGTGGAATTCACTCCCCGGGAAAAATTAGACCATCTTCATCCCTCCTCTCCTTTAGAAAGGAGCTTAAAACATGGATGTGGGACCAGGCCTTTGGGTAACTAGACAGACAATGACAATGACAATGTTGACAATGGCTTGGAAAAAGACTATGGAGAAGTTTGATTGAGTATCCAATCACAGAATTCGACTAGATAATGTCCACCAGATTAGGAAGAATTTCCTGAGAGTAAGAGCTGATGGACAGTGGTGTAGGCTGCCTGGGAATGTTGTAGAGTCTCATTCTCTGGAGGATTTTCCACAGAGGCTGTCTATCGGAAGTGCTTTGATTGTGCCTTCTTGTATGACAGAGGGTTGGACTGGATGACCCTTGGGGGTCTCTTCCAGCTCTAGGATTCTATATCAGGAGTAGTAAATATGAGGTCTAACGGATGCACTTTGTTCTCTCCTACCACCATTCATCTCACAGCAAGTGAAAGCACTCTAGTGTGGCTGTAAGGAATTCTTGAGCTTGAGGAAGCGAGAGGCAGAGTTCAATCTTAAGAATTTCAACAAGGTTTATTAAGACACGAGAACTATATTTCTTGATAGAAGAGGACTGGGTGTAAGTTTTGTCTCTAACTCCGTGATTTTTAAGTTCAAACCAAAGGAAACATCTCGAAAGACTACATTTTCCCATTCACACAACAACTTCAGAGAAATTCAAAAAGAAAAGGAAGGTGAATGAAAGAAATGAACACATGGTCTTAAAACAATGAATTTGCATCCTGAAGAAGTTCCATTCTGGTCATCCATTAGGATGGGAGGAGAAAGGACAGAGAAGGAGAGAAAACAAACGGCAACAACAGGCATTCAGGAATGGGGGTGTGGGAGAGAAGGGATTCCCTCAACCTTGCTTGATTCTGTCTTTCTGCTTCTCACTGAGGACTACAGACTTGAGCAGTGTGGGGTTGAATTCTAACACTGTTTAGGGCTACAGAGAGGCTGAATCCTTCAAAGCCTGCTTTAGGACCCAATGAGGGCTCACTGTACCTTGAGTGGGATCTGACTTGCTCAGCTTCACCCATGAGATGTAGGGATACTGCCCTATGGCAGAGCGGTTCTAGTTGTGGCGCCCTAATCTGGGGCAATATTTCTGCCTTGCTGGCATTCGGGCCCATCCTTGGCCCAGGAGGGTCCCCCTCTCACACACATGCAGCATTTTTGGAGGCAGCTCCCTCACCTGCCTGCCTGCCTGCCAGCCCTCCTTCCATCCGTCCTTCCTTCCTCCTTCCATCTCTCCATCTCTCTTTCCTACCGTCCTTCCCTCCTTCCTTTCCTTCCTTCCTTC